ATTCTGGTGATATTCATTGCTCAGGTGGTGGCTCAGGTTGATATTCTGACCTGGCAGACACTTTGTGGGCTCTTCCAAATCACCCAGATTTTCTAGGTCTTGAGAGACAGGGACCTCTCTGAATTAGTGTTTCTCACACTGTTAAAAGTTACAAAATCTATGTCCTGCAAGGTCCACCATCTCACATGGACGCCATACTTCACCTGGTGTGAGGAAAGAAAGTTTCACCCCATCAAATGATCTGTGGAAAGAATCTTGACCTTTTTACTACCAGGCCTGGATCAGCATTTGCCCTAAGTACCATCAAGTGGCAAATCTTAGGCCTTGCAATCCCATTCTATTCCTATAAGACCACTACCTCCTATACTTAGGTTAAAACTTTTGTACAGGGTGTTTCTCATGTAGTTCCTCCTGTGCATCCACACATGGCTGTGGTATTTGAGTTTGGTTCTGTCGGCACTTGTGGTGCATTTTAAATGCTCAAATTGCTTGGAATTTCATGTGTTTGGTGACATCAATTGGTTCATATAGACACAAAGGCAGCTGCCATAATACCCATAACCTGTGTATCTGAACCCAGGAAGAAAATGTAATACATTGCAGCTCTAAGAGTCCTCATATGTCGGTGCTGTATTACTTAGTTTTTGGGTTTTTTTTTTACTTTCTTTCCCTTTATTTGTTTTCTCTGGTCCTCCTGTCCTAGGGTGACACTCGCTTCATCTATGGAGGAGTGTTTTCACTCTAAGACAAGACTACAAAACACCTCATTCCTTTCTATTCCTAATAACATAGGGGGATGTGTTCTGTAGTCCTCAGAGATAGGTGGAAATAATGTAACTGATAAGTGCAACACATGTTCAGGATGTTATCAGATTTCTGGCAGGATCAAACAGATATATGTTTTTTTTTGGTTATCCAAACAAATATAGGGTTTACATATACTTTTAGCGATGGAAATCTCCACAGTTGGAACACAAAAAGCAATTGAAACCTAAGAGGGGTTCTAACCTTTCTACTACATGCGTTAAATACACATAAACACACAGGCTTGTTGGTAGAAAATAGAATTGCGTGCACATTGTGAAAAAATAAATCGCCTTGGAACATAAATGTTGTGTCATGAGATGCATTTGAAGGACTTCAAAACTCCCATAACATTAGCCAGACACCCATCTATACATTATTCTCCTTTGAAAAAGCTTGGCAGAAGGACATATGATCGATTTCCTGAACACCCACAGGTATTATTTATAAGAAAGCATTCACACAAAGACAGCGGCTGGTTAGAAGGAATAGATCTGACATCCTATCTGTTCTGTCAACCGCCTCTGCCCCTCACATACAGCCTACACCTCCCACCACAGTGCTCAGTCAGAGGCATTTGTGAATGGACAGGAATATCAATGTTCTTCCTCTCCCTGTTGTATTGAAGCCACATTGGCAAGATTCTGAAAGGCCTCTGATTGATTACTATTATCCATTGCTATAGACTTGGAATTCTTTTTTTTTTTGTGTTAACTGTTTGGGAACCTGCATTCTAGTGTTGCAAGTAAGTAGGTCTCTACCACCTGCTACATGGAACTAAATGACTGTTTTGAGTCAAATGGAAAGTAATGACTGGCTGGAGTCAAATCTGTTACCATCACATCACTAATGTCAAACTTAAATATATGTATAAATAAATATATGTGGCCAATCCCTTTTTATTGGCTTCCACTAACCCAACGTATAACATTGAAAATACTAACCACAACATATAAAGCCATCCACAACACTGCCCCTAGCTACATCACCAACCTCATCCGCAGATATCATCCAAATTGCCCACTACGCTCTTCCCAAGCCATCTTGCTCTCTAGCTCCCTTGTAGCCAACTCCCACGCTCGCCTTCAGGACTTTTCCAGAGCCTCTCCCATCCTCTGGAATTCCCTACGGCAGTATCTCCGGTCAGCCCCCACCCCGTCTGCCATTAGGCGATCTTTAAAAACTCACTTATTCAGGGAAGTCTACCCCACCTCCACCTAAGAACTGTACTTGCGCCACCTCCATCATCCCCCACAGCTATCAACTTTTCTACCACCTCCCCCTTCCTTTAGATTATAAGCTCCACGAGCAGGGCCCTCCTATTCCTTCTGTACTGAAATGTATTTAATGTTGATAAATGTAAGGTTATGCACTCTAGGGTCTAGGTCTAGGGTTGTCAATGGTGTACCCCAAGGTTCAGTGTTGGGACCCTTACTTTTTAATATATTTATAAACAATATAGGGTCTGGGGTTATAAATCCCATTCCAGTCTTTGCAGATGACACCAAGCTGTGCAGTGGAATAACATCCTTACAGGATGTCTTCAATTTACAAGCTGACCTCAATGCACTGTTTAATTGGACAACTATGTGGCAAATGAGATTTAATATTGATAAATGTAAGGTTCTGTACTTGGGGGCTAAGAATATGCATGTATCATACATACTGGGGGGGTACAACTGGGGGAATCAATGGTGGAGAAGGATCTGGGGGTTCTGGTAGATTACAAGCTTAATAATGGCATGCAATGCCAAGCTGCGGGTTCTAAAGCGAGCAAAATCCTCTCTTGTATTAAAAGAGGTATAGACTCCAGAGAGAGAGAGATATCATATTACCCTGTACAAATCATTAGTAACACCTCATCTGGAATATGCAGTTCAGTTTTGGGCACCAATTCACAAAAAGAACATTGGGGAACTGGAGAAAGTACAAAGAAGGGCAACCAAACTGATAAGAGGCATGGAGGAGCTCAGCTATGAGGAGAGATTAGAGGAACTGAATTTATTCTCTCTTGAGAAGAGGAGATTAAGGGGGGATATGATCTCAACATGTATAAATACATCAGTGGTTCATATAGTGAACTTGGTGTAGAGTTATTCACCCTGAGGTCATCACAGAGGACGAGGGGGCACTCTTTGAGTCTGGAGGAAAAGAAAATTATTCTCCAAACATGGAAAGGTTTCTTTACAGTACGAGCTGTGAAAATGTGGAATAGACTCCCTCAAGAGTTGGTTCTGGCCAGCTCAGTAGATTGCTTTAAAAAAGCCTGGATTCTTTCTTAGATACACAGAATATAACTGGATACTAACATTTATAGGTAAAGTTGATCCAGGGAATATCCAATTGCCTCTCGGGGGATCAGGAAGGAATTTTTTTCCCTGCAGGAGCAAATTGGATCATGCTTTGCTGGGTTTTTTTGCCTTCCTCTGGATCAACTGTGGGTATAGGATTATAACTTTTTTTTTTTTTAATGGTTGAACTGGATGGACTTTTGTCTTTTTTCAGCCAGACTAACTATGTATTGTAATTGTACTGTCTCCCTTTATATTGTAAAGCACTGCGCAAACTGTTGGAGCTATATAAATTCTGTATAATAATATGTAGACCCAATCATTAAAACCTAATATAAGCTTTAAAATTTCATTGAGGGCATGAGTGGCACTGAGCCGTGGTTTTACTGCCCCCGGCTTCTCACCTGATTTCTAACATTACATCCTGACAGGGCTGTACACATGATGCAGCCATGGCAATCTTAACGGGCTGAAGTGTCAGACAGGTGGCACTGCCTGTTGAACCTATTCAGATCAATAGGGTTTGCACCGCAACTGTGAGCCAAACACTTAGCTTGCTGCTGCTGTGCAAGCCCCACTATGTAAAATTGCTGTTTAGCAATAAAAAAAAAAAAAAGGCATCAAGAGGCAGGAGTAGTGCTTCTCAGATGCCTGTCAGCCGCTGATATCTATCTAAAAGAGACCTTAAAGGATAAGTCCACCTTTTGGAACATGTTACATTCCATCCATATTTAGGGTGTAACATGTTCCAGCTCCGGGAGCCAGTTCCACTGATGTCGCTCTCGTTGTGACAGTGGTGGGGGATCCTCTCCCCTCCCCCCGTTGTCACAATTCAAAATCAGCGCAAGTGTACGGGGCTCCACCCACACGGCTGCATCATTCATTCACATTTCCGGGGAATGGGTGAACTACAGCAAAGTCACTGATGAGCGGTCTCCTAGTTCATTTACAAGCCCTGCTGCTTGTAAACTGTCAGCCCATATGAAGGTACTGCTGAAAGCTGCAGGGCTTGTATGCAGGAGTCTGACATTGCACCCCTGATCCACTGATCACGGATTCTATGCTTTCCAAGCTATACTTAGGGAGAAAATAATAAATTCACACTTTTTTTCCTGCAAAAATATGTGCATTTATTATTTTTTTCCCAAAAGGTGAACTTATTCTTTAACCACTTGATCTCCAGAGGATTTACCCCCTTCCTGACCAGGCCATTTTTTTGCGATACGGCGCTGCGTTACTTTAACTGACAATTGCGCGATCACGCAATGCTGCCCCCAAATGAAAAATACGTCCTTTTTTCCCATGAATAGAGCGTTCTTTCAGTGGTATTTGATCGCCTGTGTGCTTTTTTTTTTTTTTTTTTGCGCTATAATAAAAAAAAAGACCTAAAATTTAGAGAAATAAACAATATTTTTGACTTTTTGCTATTAACCTCCCTAGCGGTCTGATTATGTCCATATTTCTGTGCTCAAAGTGGTACATTTTTTTGCATGGATATATTTATTTTTTTTATTGTAGGCTGTAATTTTTAGGAATAACTCACTGAAATCTGACGAACAAGAGTCTAGTAAACATCCCGGGTATGTTAAAATTTGAAACACGAAATCATAAATTATAATTTAATAAATAATCATAAAAAATAATAATATAATAATAATAAATTTAATTAAATAATATAATCAAACCAAAAACACTGAAATTTGAAATATAGCACCAAGTTCGCACATCACTGAGCAAAGTCGCAGAATCGTTTTCAGTGTCTGATGACGAATTTCCCCACGAATCATTATCACTCAATTGTGCAAGTGGTTCTGATTTACTATCGCTGTTCTCTAGCTGGTCTAAAACCGATTTTGACCTAAAGGAACGCTTTTTGGACGCCATGGACTTTTCTCAGTTTCCAGGCAGAAAGAACAGTCAAAATGCAGGCAGGGCACAGGACAAAGCACTCGGGACAAAATGTATGTGAAATGGGTTGATACAGTAATGGTATACTATGTGATTTTAGTGAATTTAGTCAATGTCACTTTTTGTCATTTTTAAATTTCTCGCCGTTCCGTCCCCGTATGTCCCGATGTCGCAGGGGATGGAACCCAGAAGACAGATGCCGGCATCCGCCGGAGGACATTGCCGGGGACACTGCAGGAGGGACATCGCGGGAGCGCAGCACAAGGTAATTGAAGAACAGATCCCGGAGCAGCGCCGCATGGTAAGCCCGAGTGTAGCTCAGGGTTACCGCTTGTGGTACTGAAACTTTACCCCGAGCTACAATCAGGAATACCGCCAGGGAGGCTACACATGTCCAGTGAAAATATTTAAAAAAATCAAATTTCGTCATAAATTTAGGCCAATATGTATTCTGCTACATGTCTTTGCTAAAAATAATCCCAATACGTGTAAATTAATTGGTTTACGTGAAAGTTATAGGGTTTACAAATAGCGGTATTTATATGGGAATTTGTTTTTTTTTTTTTTTACTAGTAATGGCAGCGATCAGCGACTTATAGCTGGACTGCAGTGGGCATTCTGACACTGGGGAGAACTGACTTGGTGTCACTGACATCCCCAGTGACACCAATGCAGTGATCAGTGCTAATAAGAAACACTGACACTTTACTAATGTCACTGGGCAGGAAGGAGTTAACATGTAGGGTGATCAAAGGGTTAGCTGTGTGTTGTTTCACATTAGGTGTTGTGTGTGTGTGCTTTTCTGTTTTGTATGGCCTTGCTATGCATAGCCATACAAAGCTGTGTGCAGGAGCTGACAGAGGAACTGTATTGTTTACTAACAGTTCTCTCCCCCCCCTCGGGATTACTCGGTGACCACCAGGTGCTGGCGAGCAGTCACTGGCTGGGACCAGGTGATTGACAGCCGAGGCTACGAATGGAACTGCAAAATCATGTATATACAGGGGCGGACTGATAATTCATGGGGCCCCCGGGCAATAGGGGATCATGGGGCCCCTGTGTCCTTGCCCACACTCAATGCACACCTAAAAAAGCCTATAAAAAGGTACAAGGGGCATTTCATGGGGCTCCCTACTGACCTCGGGCCCTCGGGCAGTGCCTGAGTACTCGAATGGTCAGTCCGCCCCTGCGTATATATATATATATATATATATATATATATATATATAAAATGTGTGTGTGTGTGTGATTTTGCGCACCCGCGCCGCCCTGTTGCAGTATTTCTGCTATAGGGCGGATGTCAAGTGGTTATTTTCAAAATGTCATATTTTTCAAATCTGCAGCTTTCACTAAAATAATTCCTTGTGATCCTGCCATGAAGGTCCTTGTTCAGGCACTTCCTGCTACAGGGTGACAAACCTCTTTACTTGTCTTGTTAGTCGTACTCCTGCCTTGTCACTCTGTCACGGTGGATTCTGATGGAGACTACCAGCAGCTGTTTGCCTGGACATGGTTAACTATTGTCACCATCTGGAAGCCTTTCCAGGGAAATGCCATGCATCCATCACTGGAGTACACGTAGATGTAAAATGGCTATAAAGAGGCTTCAGAAAATCAGCAACACTGAGATGCAATAAATAATGAGAAAAAGATAAAATTGAATATTCTATTTAGAAAATCACAGTTTATGATGATATTTACCAACATGTGCTGTTCTTCACTTAAAAATGCTCAAAATAAATAATATGTGCATCCAGTTGCTACTATATATATCAAAACAAATAAAGTTGTAATAAGTGAATCAACTAGTATCAGTTTCCAAAAAAAGAGGTCCATATATAAACTTCTTGAAACGTGCAAAGTTCACTGTGGAATAAAATATCCCGTGCCTCTTAATTGATTTTTGTGTGAAAAAAACTTGCATTTGTGTGCTCCCCCGCCGGATATGCTCTCACCTCAAGTATATGACCAAACCGTTAAGTAAGGTCAAATAATGCTTGTGTCCCTTAAAGTGGGCCAAAGTATGGATGGGATGGTATCCTGCTGTTTGGGGTCCTCCTCCACTCAATCAATGGGCTCCACATCCATGGTGGTTGATATAGAGGAATGAATCAAATCATAGTGTATCATCCTTTTAAAACCGTTATAATAATAAAAGTAATGCATTCACATATATTCTGTATATAAACCGCTTTGTGCACAAAAGGATACCATTCTCAGCTGCACGTGAAGCTTAGAGAGCTGGGGAGAGGAGAAACAGCAGTACTCTAGTCTTCTCAGTGAATGGTTGTGAGGGGGGAGGGGTAGGGGCTTGTCAGCACAACCATTGGAGGAGAGCAGGTTCAGTTCTCAGCACAGCTAGAAAACTAACCATGGTGTGCTGTCGTGCCTAGTGTGGTCAGTTTTTAATAGGAAAGCGGAGGGAATGACAGGAGCACAAAAAGGAAGCAATGCTAAGAGAACAGGATACTTTTTTTTATACAAGTACATGGTACAGCAGGCACATACAGTGGGGATCGAAAGTTTGGGCACCCCAGCTAAAAATTTGTATTAATGTGCATAAAGAAGCCAAGGAAAGATGGAAAAATCTCCAAAAGGCATCAAATTACAGATTAGACATTCTTATACTATGTCAACAAAAGTTAGATTTTATTTCCATCATTTACACTTTCAAAATAACAGAAAACAAAAAAATGGCGTCTGCAAAAGTTTGAGCACCCTGCAGAGTTAATATCTTGTACTGCCCCCTTTGGCAAGTATCACAGCTTGTAAACGCTTTTTGTAGCCAGCCAAGAGTCTTTCAATTCTTGTTTGAGGTATCTTTGCCCATTCTTCCTTACAAAAGTCTTCCAGTTCTTTGAGATTTCTGGCCTGTCTGTCACGCACTGCTCTTTTAAGGTCTATCCATAGATTTTCAATTATGTTGAGGTCAGGAGATTGTGAAGGCCATGGCAAAACCTTCAGTTTACGCCTCTTGATGTAATCCCCCGTGGATTTCGAGGTGTGCTTAGGATCATTATCCATTTGTAGAAGCCATCCTCTTTTTAACTTCAGCTTTTTCACAGATGGCATCAAGTTACCATCCAAAATTTGCTGAAATTTTATTGAATCCATTTTTCCTTCTACTCGTGAGATGTTCCCTGTGCCACTGGCTGCAACACAACCCCAAAGCATGATTGATCCAACCCCATGCTTAACAGTTGGACAGAGGTTCTTTTCATTAAATTCTGTGCCCCTTCTTCTCCAAACGTACCTTTGCTCATTCCGGCCAAAAAGTTCAATTTTAACCTCATCGGTCCACAGAACTTGTTACCAAAATGCATCAGGCTTGTCTATATGTTCATTTGCAAAGTTCAAACTGATTTTTGTGGTGAGGACATAGAAGAGGTTTTCTTCTGATGACTCTTCCATGAAGACCATATTTGTACAAGTATCTCTTTATAGTGGAATAGTGTACCACAACTCCAGTGTCTGCCAGATCTTTCTGGAGGGATTGTGCAGTCAAACGTGGGTTTTGAATTGTTTTTCTCACAATCCTGTGACCTGTTCTGTCTGATATTTTTCTTGGTCTTCCAGATCTTGCTTTAACTTCCACCGTTCCTGATGACTGCCATTTCTTAATTACATTCCGAACAGAGGATATTGACATCTGAAAACGCTTTGCTATGTTCTTATAGCCTTCTCCAGCTTTGTGAGCGTCAACTATTTTCAGTTTCAGTTTTCTAGACAACTGCTTAGAAGAACCCATGGTGCTGATTGTTGGGGCAAGGTCAGATGAGTCTGGGCATTTAAAACCTTTGAGATTGACATAACCTGGTCTTCCCAGACGATGATTGAGAACATCCATGACACTGGCAGGTCTCAGCTTTGCAAAGGGGGCAGTGCATGCTATAAATTCTGCAGGGTGCCCAAACTTTTGCAGACGCCATTTTTTTGTTTTCTGTTATTTTAAAGTGTAAATGATGGAAATAAAATCTAACTTTTGTTGACATATTATAAGAATGTCTAATCTGTAATTTGATGCCTTTTGGAGATTTTTCCATCTTTCCTTGGCTTCTTTATGCACATTAATACAAATTTTTAGCTGGGGTGCCCAAACTTTCGATCCCCACTGTATCAAGAATACAAAATTTTGGATTTACGTATTCTTTATTAGTAATTTAAGAACTTTTACTTTGGATTTTTTTTTGTTTAATTTTAGACTGGCTCAGGAAGTGGTTGTCATAGTCTTAATTTGGGTGAGAAAACTTTTTTTTTTTTTTGTAATTGCTAGCCCCAAAGATCAACGTTTATTCGATCTGGAATTTTTAAAGTCTACATTTAAAGTGCTGTTACCCAAGGAAACCAAATAATGAGATGACTAAAATAAATATCCCAATTGGTTTGCATGGGTTACTAAGAAGGTTTCTAAGAGGATGATTTGCATATTTGTCTACAAGAAGGCTCCCAAGGTCTTGATATGTCTACCCATGTAAATAATAAAAGTAATAATTCACTATCCTTCACTCTCAATCTTCATCATCATCATCATCATCATCATCACTTCTACCACTCTTCATCATTAAATTATCCTCTTATAGAGTTTAGATCATATCTCTAGCAATTATCTGCATAAATATGTATGCATTTTATTTATATTTGCTGATATTTATTTAGTAGTTGTGACATGGTCTTGATTAGTTCTTGGAGTTTTCTTTAAATGTCACTGAACAACAGACCTTACATAAAACCAAACATCATTCTTATCGTTCTTGTCAAGAGGAATAAAGATCAATCCACTGGCACAGGATCTGATAAAAATAGTTATGCATGATGTGCTTAGCCAAGGTTGGGTTTAACTGTTAATACACATGATGTAAATGTGAATGATGTACCACAGAGATTGCAATTAGCCTTGTTCTGGAACCTCAAAAAGGATCTGACACCTAAGCATACAGGTATATCTAAACAGACTGACACTGTTTAGCTGAACACCTATGTATGTATGCTGAGTGTTACAGCTACTGAATATAGTTAATGCAATAATTATTGCCAATTTCCTAGCTATAGTATGGTCACATATTACCTAGCTAATAAGGTGGATGCCTGAGTTCCGTCTTTGACAGTTCTTCCTATAAAAGAAAAAAAAAACAGTGCTTGCACTTTAAATTAAATATCAAATGTCCAAATGAAATAAGTCTTTATGAGATAAAACAATTTTGGTCATCTGTATATATACACCTGCGTGCTGGAATAACATAAACCTATTCTACATTCCACTGTGTTCAAAGAAAACACTTCACACTCACCACAAAATGATGGCATCTTGCGGAAACAAGAGGACACACGTTACATGTTGATGATGA